CTGGCTGGCATGTGGTGCTGGGGGATTGAACCGCGGTCCCCGATGCTTTGCTAAGCTTGTTCTAAGTAGGTGCTTTAGACCACTGAGCCATCTCTCCAGCCCCCCAAGGCCAGTTTATTATTTGCATTTTTATTATAAGGCTTTCCTTCATGGCATTTAGCACAATATAAATATTTATGTCTGTATTTAGATTTTTTTTTTTTTTTTTTTTTGGGCTGGTTCAGGCTCCTTTAAGGGCAGGTCTGATGTGGCATGTGGAGCTGGGATCAAGTCGTGATCCTCTGTGCCTGACTGAATTTGCCCAAGCAAGTGCTTTAAACAACTGAGCTAAGAGGCAAGGCCCCAATGTCTGTATTTAATGTGTATCTGCTTTACAGAATAAGCTCAAGGACTGAGGAAACCATATTTCTTCTGTTTATCACTATAGTAGGAATAATTAGCACAGAAGTACTCAAATTATTTGTTACATGAATCATTCATGTCTTCATATCCATTTCGCATTTATCTTACAGGATCCTGCTAGTAAAATTAGTATAAGTTCCTTACCTATAAACAGTAAGAACTGTTTTTATATTTTATTTTTCTTTGTATGTTAATTTTATTACCTAGAAGTTCTTCATATGTTACAGATCTGAACTTCCCGCTTAAAAACAGTTTTAATTTTACTTATTTATTTAGAGACAGTGTCTCACTTAGGTCACTTATCTTGCAATCTTCCTGCCTCTCTGGATGGTTGCAATACAGGTCTATATGACAGTATTTAGCAGAAAAGTTTTAATCATATAAAAGATTACTATCTCTAGGTAACAGTTAATATTCTTTATGTTACCTCCACATCTTTAATGATTATGTTTATATAAATACTTCTTAAAATTCAGTATTTGTGTATAGCATTAAGTAAAAATTTTTAATATTTTCACATCTGAATACACATGACAGGTATTAGCAACCTAACCTCATGGGCTTATCCTGGGTTCTGTGTAATTCCTGGCAAAATATGCTGTAGTTCATCAAAAGAACAAATCATTCACTAAGTTTAACTTTATTATTATTAATCTATTAGTGATACTTTAATACGCAATTAGTGATACGTTTTAAGTGATCATAAAACTAGTTTTTCAACCTTCTAGATCTTTCTTAAGCTAACTTTGCCCCATACTACCATTTTAACTATCTGAAAATACATAATAAAAACAAAAGTAGTACAGTAGTTAACATTTTTTTAATGCTAACCAGTATTGGGTACTATGTTAGAAAGCATTTTATATATATTACCACATCTAAGTCTTCAAAATATATTTTTTTAAATTTTATTTACTTATCTCCTATATTTCAGGGAAGGGTCTACAGGGTGTTCAAGGTCTCACTACTAGATCAGACTCATAGTGATGCTCCTGTTTACAGCCTCCCAAGTGCTGTGATTACAGGTGTGCGCCACCACTCCTAGTCTCAGCGCCCCCTGTGGCAGGCCCGGGAATCAAAGCCCTGATCCCTGTGCCTGCTTGCAGGCACTTTAATCCACTGAGCTATTTGGATGGCCCTGAAATACTTTTGATATCATTCCTACTTTACAAATAAGGAAAATGGCATTATAGAATTTCAGTAACTGTCTGGTCACTCAGCCTGTGAAGGTGAAATTCATATATACCAAGCCAGAGTTAAAGCCTCTACTCTTAATCATTATGTTGTATTGCTTCAATTTTCCACTGTTGTGTTATGTTTTGATCGTATTGTCTGGGCTTTACTAGTAAAACTTCTTGTAGTTCAAAATGTTTAAATATCTTGATTACCTTCTCCATGGTTGTCCAGGCCTGACGTAATGGAGTTATAAAACAGTTTGGGAGTGGCCCACCTTCCCTGCAGATATTGGACTCAATTTCTAATCGTACAACATCATCAAATCCAAGAGGATGTGTGGCTTGGAGGGAGAAGTACCTACGGAAGAAAGAGATAAAGAGTAAGCCCAAATTCCATAGCAAACATAAGCAATTTTTGGTATCTACAATAAAAGAATTATAATATGGAGCTATATAGTTGATACAGCTGCAGATCGAGAACCAAAGAGCTAGGTGATAACAGCCTTGATGGAACCTTTATTTACTCCTACTTCCCCAAAGATATCCAGGCCAATTTGCTAGCTTCTTTTCTGCCTTTTAACCATCCTTAGTTCCTCCTTTGCCAACTCTGCTGATGATTAAGAGCTGAGATTCAGGCTACCACCAAGGCAAAGAAACCAATCCATCACATACATTTAATGACACCTATTCTACGTTCAGGACTTAGTAGGTAGAAATGAATTTTAAGAGAGTAAGACAAAGACATATCTTCTGAAAAGGGTGGAAAGCATTTGTTGACTGGATATGGAAACATACCATCATAAACATGAGTCACAAGCAAAAAATCTGCAGGGCATCAAAGCAAAATGACAATGACATCAAAAGTAAAAAGGACATATATTTGCACAGAACTACTAGAATTAGCTGATGATCTGATGTGGAAAGTAAAAGGAATGAATAATGCTAACTTAAAGATTTCTAACTTGAAATATATAACAGCGAGTGTTTTGGCAAACGATTATAAAGTAGATAAAAAACTTGCCTTCCAAGCACTAGCAACTTGCATCTCCCATGTATGACACCCATGTATGACAGAAAAAGACAGGCTGATGATGTATGATTGTGGTACACAGATAAAACTGACATGAATTTGACAAATTGACAGTGGTGGTGGTATATAATACAGCCATCTTCACTTAAAAGCATCTCCCAAGGTGAAAATGGGATTCAGTAAAAAACAGGGTCTCTGCTCCATTGAGGTCTAGCCAGAAACTTAATATGCTAGTGCCACTATTTTAGTATACAGAAAATCCTTTTCTACTTAGCATTTTTGTAACAAAAAGTAGGTCTCCTATGTTGTTAACAAGTTGGTAAATATTTTTTTTTGGTAAATATTTCTTCACGGTATGAATTTTCAGGGACCCCATTACTTCTAACTTTAAACTCTTGCTATTTCAATAGCTATTTAACAAGATTTTTTATACAGTATCTTCCATTAATGTATTACACTAGAATGAACTCTGGAGAGATTAAGAATTATATTCCTATCCAAGTTCTGTCACTTACTTACATGTTCTGACTTTGAGAATATCATACTCTCTCTAATGCCTTGATTTCCTTATTTGCAGAATAGGAAAATCAGACTGAATCTCTAACTGCCTACTCATCACAATTACCTGGAATACTGTCTAAAAATAAAGGTTCTGGGGCTGGGGAGACAGTTCAATGGTCTAAGTACCCACCTGGCAAGTGCAAAGTCTCAAGTTTGGTCCCCAGTAACACATGCCATGCCGGCCCCAGAACACCAGGCACACTGTGCCAGCCCTGAAACTAGGCGTGGTAGTGCATGCCTATAATCCCAGAGCTGGGAAGGCTAAGACAGTTGGATCACTACAAGTCTGAACTGCGTAGTGAGATCCTGTATCAAATAAATAAATACATATTAAAAAAAAAAAAAAGACTCTGAGTCTTACCCCAAACCTGCTGAATCAGAATCTCTTAGAGGACTGGAAACCTATTGCTAACACACTCCCAGGTGACTTGCACAGACAGTCCGGTATAAGCCTGCAGATTGATGTTCAGGAACTACTGACCTAGACATTCTTGGCTCTCTTCCAACCTTAACACCTCTCAGAGTTGTTTCTCTGTATCCTCAAATTATGCAATTAGTGCTTGCTTTCATTCCAATCTCTCATTTTCAGTGAAAATGAGAAAAATGACTTAATTCTTATTAATGAAAATTAATGAGAAATTGACTAGCTCAGAGGCAGAGTACATACTTAGTGAGACCCTAGGTTAAGTCCCAAAGCCAAAAAAGTAAAATTACTCATCAAGAAATGTGACTGAGCAGATGTGCACCACAGAGTATGACATGTCCAAATAAAGATAATGAAGGCCCTTTGCAATCTATTTCAATCAGTCAGGTTCCTTTTATATGCCTCATCCTTTAGGTTATCTAAACTCAAGCTTCATTTTGTTTCTTTTTCCTAGTTTGAAATCCAAGGTCATAGGCATATTAGAGGCTCTCTTGCTGAGTTATACTCTGCCCTCACATTCTAATTGCTGTTTCTTTTTTCTCTGAGACAGAATCTTGCTATGTAATTAAGGTTGGCCTCAGGTTCCCAGCTGGCCTCAACTTGCAAGGATCTTTCTGCCTCAGCCTCCTAAATGCTGGGATTACAGACATGCACCACGATGCCCAGCCTCACTCAAATTTCTTTAGAACTGTCACTTTCCTAAAAGTTTCTAGGACTCTGCTCGTGCTAATACACTTTGCCTAGAATCTTCTTTCCTACCTTCTGTAGCTGGAAAATTCAACTCATTTTTTGGGATCCAAATAAAATCTTTCTTCTTGGAAACCCTTCCTGAACACCACATTGTCATCCTGCTTTTCAAACATAGACCTCTCCCCTAAAAAAACACCTCTTTCTTCTAAAGATCTCCTCCCAAAGTTTCATACACACACAAAAGGCAGCTTTTATGTTTCTTCATCTGAGCTCTTTGACAGCAGAGACTGAATTTATTCATCTATATAATAGCAAATACAAAAAAAAAAAAAAAAAAAAAAAAAACCATGCTAAAGTCATCTATCAATAAAACTCACTTGTCATATAAGATCATGGCATCATTCTGTGCCTCCTGTCCATCATACTGGCCCTTTTTTGCAGCAAGCTGAGACTGAAAGTTATCTGCTGCCAACCAGAATTGTAAAATATTCACTGCATCTTCTTTTTCCATGTACTAGGAAGGAAACATACAAAAGGGATAAGACTACAAATGGATCACTCTCACCAGCTCTAATATACAAATTCAAAGTACTAAAATACAGAATAAGGCAAGAAGCAAAAAAGATTCACTTCTTCACCTATATTAATCAACAACAATCATTTGAAATAGAAAAGTTTTAAAACGTTCTTTTAGTAGAGAAAAATATAACATAAAATGAACAAAATAAAAATATCACAGAGCTGGTTGTAAACTTTAGTGTACTAAAATAAAAATTAGGGGCTGGGGAGATGGCTCAGTAGAATAAGTGCTTCCCTGGCAAGCGCAAGGGCCTGAGTTCAATCCCTGGTTCTGCCTAAATAAATAAATAAATAAATAAAAATTATACCAAGATTGGCAGGCAAGATAGCTCAGCAGTCTAAAGCGCCTGCTTAGGCAAGCTTAGGGACTTTGGTTAGATCATTGGCTCCACATGTCTCAGCCCACCCTGAGCCGGCCACCAAAAAAAAAAAAAAAAAAAAAACTAAGATTAGTAGTTCCTTGCTGGCAAACACATAAGGGATAAGCTAAATCTTTTATGGGGCCACGGAGATGGTTCAGTGGAATAAGCGCTTGCCTGGCAAGCTCAAGGGCCTGAGTTCAATCCCCGGTTCCGCAAAAAAAAAAAAAAAAAATCTTTTATATCTGATCATTTCTATCATTCTGTGAAGACATATTAACCTGAACAAATCCTGATTTAAACTCACGGTATAGAAAGGGAGTGAAAGTCAACTAAATAACTGTTCTTACAGAGACAGGATCCAGGTATGTAGGTTAATGCTTTGAGATTGGGAATTCTCTCATAGTTAATGTTTTGCAACAAAATAATTTCATTTGCTGAAGCCTAACAGATTCTATATGCCTCAAAGAGATTAGTATACTGGTTTGTCACAAATGATTCATTAGATAATCCTATCAAGCAGCTAAAGTAAAACCGAGTAGGAAAATACTACTTTTCTTTTTCCTCTTCAGAAGTCTGGTCCTCAATTATGTGTGCACAGGAATTAAGTATCAAATTCTATGGTTCAAAAGTACTTCCAAGTAATTAAAAAGCTATGTTCTGTTATAAGCAGTAGCTTAATTAGGTTTTTAAAATTGTTATTTTACACTGAATGTTCATGTTCTCTCTGAGAAATATTCTATAAAATTACTCTTGCCATTAGAAATAATTTAAAACAATAAATCATTTTAGATATGATTCATCTCTTCTTGTTTTTTAAAACACCGGCCCCAGCATTTACAGTTTGAAAGCTGGGAAGCTCTAGTAGACAAAATATAAAAGGAAATGTAGAATTTACCTCAGAGAAATAAAAGAGGGCTGACTCACAGAAGAGAATGTCAGCCAGGTAAACAGTTCCACTGGTCAGCACTTCAATCTGGTATTTACAGAAATGGTGACTTCGCAGAAACTCACTAAAGTGCCTGCACATGGACAAAAGGGAAATTTTGAGGGAAGACCAAGGAAAGAGCTTAACTGGGAAAAATAGACTCTTTCCATACTGTCCCAAGACCTAGGTCAGGGTTTCCTCACTTCCCATTCTGATGTCCCTGATTCCTTCATGTAAGTGATCTCTTCCACTTCTTAATGATTTTGTAGCTCTCCTCTACTATTTAACACATGCTACCTTATGGTAATGTAACCAAAAAAAAAAAAAAAAAAAAAAGCCATATATATTTTTTAAAACACTTTAATTCAAGGTAGGGATTACACTGTGCCCTGCACAAAACAGTTAATAAATACTGAATGAAAACATATGTACATGTTTAAGAGTATGTAGTGATAACTGTAATCTAAAAAACTCTGGAGGCAGTTTCACCAAATCTATGTGGATTTAGTTACATAGCATACAATGAACTAAAAGCACATCCATTTGAAGACATGCATTTTTAAACTATTTCCAACAGATACTCAGGTCTTAATTACACACAAATGACTTTAAAACTAAAAAATTCTTTTACCTTAGATACTATTAACATTAAAAATGAAAACTATTTTATCTTTAATACAATTTACATAATCTATATTTAAAAGAAATTATTAACCAAGAGTCTCAGAATATGCTTTTATGACTTTATAAATAAACTACAAACTACTTTGATCCTCAAACATTATTGGTTTTTGTTAAGTCCAGGCCTAACACTGAACCCAAACTTCCAAGAAGCAAAATTTGAAAACGTTAAAACTCACTTACTCTTGCTCCATTGCATTAAAGACTATGGCCTGTGCCAAAACAAAACAATTGGGATCCACCTGTCCATCTTCTCCACAAATCTTTGCTGTAAAAGACAGGAAATAGGTAAGTTTCTATTAAATCCAAACTACTCATTTGTGACTCAAAGGGGGAAAAAATAGGGAGGACAGATAAATGAACTGAAAGCAACTGAAAGATATAACAGCATAAAATTAATTTCATTAAAATATTCCAAAAAAATAGATAATGAAAACATATGTACATGTTTAAGAGTATGTAGTGATAACTGTAATCTAAAAAACTCTGGAGGCAGTTTCACCAAATCTATGTGGAAATCTATGTTAAAATAGCACATAGTTAAAAAGATTTATCAGAAACTCTTACAAACTAATGAGAAATGTCCCACAAGAAAAATAAGCAATGGCCATGACAGATAACTCACAAAAGAACAAACAAAATATGAAGATAGAAGGCCAAGGAGATAGCTCAGCAGCATAAGTGCCTGCCTGGCAAGTGTAAGGTCCCGATTTGATCCCTGGTACCAGAAAAAAAAAAAAATTATGAAGATAGACACGGTTACCAGTAATGAAATAAGTTACAATTCAAATAAGGAAGCACTATAGTCTTTGTGTAGTAAATTGGCACAAAATTGTCTTAATACATTTGCATAATTACTTCATAATACATACATACTCTTGTAAGGGTATAGGGAAACTGACACAAATGTTGCTGAGAGTATAAACTGGTATATTTTCCTCTGTAGGGCAGTTTGACAATTTCTAACAAAGTTTTAAAAATGAACATAATCTTTTGGTTATTCTACTTTAAGCACTGTGAACTAAAGAATTATTAACTTATGAAAAAATTTATTGGTTAAAAAAGGTTAATTACAGGGGCCAGGGAGATGGCTCAGTAGAGTAAGTGCTTCCCTGGCAAGTGCAAGGGCCTGAGTTCAACCCCCAGTTCCACCAAAAAAAAAAAGGAAAAGAAAAGTTAATTACAATGTTATTGTTTGGGCTAGTGGTGTAGCTCCAAGGCATAGCCAGGTACTCAGTCAGAGTGAGGCACTGGGTTCAGCCCCAGCACCATCAACCCCCCCCCCCCACACACACACATAGAAATAGAAAACTTAAAACATAAATGTGGTAAAACAAGACATTGGCTAAACAAATTGCAGCAAACCAATAAACTTTAAATTAGCTGTTAAACATTGTGAGGAAAAAAACAAAACCCCACACAACTGATGTTTTACTCCAAATTCATAACTTTGAAGAGACTTTAATCATACCCACAGATGGAAACCCAAGAATCCTATTTTCTAGTTCTACTAGTTCCTTACTCTCACATTCTTCCAGACAATAGCCAGCGATAGTACTGTGAAATATGTATGTGGTCTTTGTCTACTTCTTAGCATACAGCTCCTAAAATTCTTGGAACTCTTCTTAGTGATTAGTATCTTTCTATGCAAATGAGAAAATTAGTGTCTGGGAGCCTCTAAAGAGCTTCAAGATGGAGACTGGTCATCAGAAAGCCATTAGAGGGCTGGGACTTTCAGTTAGCCTCAATTCTCAACTTCTGGGGAGAAACTTGAAGACTGATCACCAATGATCAAGTATTTACTCAATCAGGCCTATATATTAAAGCCTCTACAACAACGTAAAAGGACAAGGATGGTGAAGGAAGGCATTAGAAAACTGCACACATTGAAGCTCCTGGAGAGCAGTATATCTGATGGAAGCTTCATGCCTCTTTTCTCCCATACTTTGCCCTTTATACGTATTCCATCTAGCTGTTCATCTATATTCTTTTAACACCTTTTACAATAGGAACATAAAAGTAAAGTGTTTTTCGGAGTTCTTTAGGAAATTAAGCAAACTCAGGGAAGGGGCCATGGGAACCCCAATTTATAACTCACTGACCAAAAACAAAAGCAACAAAAAGCCACAAGCCTCTTTTCTCTGTTGTGCTTGTGAAGAGTTATGGGTAGCCCTAGGGACTAAGTCCATGATCCATGGAATCTAAAGCTATCACTCTAGAATTAAACTAAATTAAATAAAACTCAGCCATTGTCTACTGGAGAATTAACTGCAGAATTGGTCTCTGCAATGTAAAAACCTCCACGTTTGTGGTCGCAAGTGTTCTATGTTATATAAGTACAGTAAGTGAAACTGAAGTTCTTTTGTCTATATCCTTGTGTCTTTTTAATTATTTTAATTTTTATTATTATAAAACTTGCAGTTCATATGATCACATACATCTCAGGAAGTTGCTACATGTACAGAATCAACCTTAATTCTTTTTGCTCCCCCCACATCCCTTCTCTCCCTTTTGGTCCCCAATAAATTTATCTCCCTGTTGCCTATTAACTTTTATTTGCTCTTTAAATTATTTATACTTTGGGTTTCTCATATAAAAGAAACCATGCAATATTTAAACTTCTGTGTCTGGTTTACTTAATATTATTGTTTCAAGATGTATTCATTTTTTTACAAATCACATTTATCCTTTCTTGTAACAGAGTAGTGCTCCATTTTGTATAAATTCTACTTTTTATCTATTCATCTGGATGGACATATAGGCTGCTTCCAAGATTTAGCTATTTCAAGCTCTGCAGCTATAAACATGGCTATGAATATATTTTTAGCTCTTTCAGGGGATACCTAGAAGGAGAATAGCTGGGTTAAATGAAATTTCTAGTTTTAGTTTTTTAAGAATATCCATATTGATTTCCATACTAGTTATAATAGTATAAACTCCCACCAATGGGTTCTTTCTTCCCTGCAGCCTTGCCAGCATTGTTACTGTTTGATTTCTTGATGACAGTCATTTTTTCTGAACATAAAATTTCAGTGATGTGGGCCAGCCAAATAGCTCAGCAGATTAAAGCACCTGCAAGCAGGCACTGGGGCTGGAGGTTCAATCCCCAGGCCTGCCATGAAGGCCCTGCCCCCAGGGCACGCTGAGACTGGGCATGGTGGCACGTACCTGTAATCCCAGCACTTAGGAGGTTCATTATTGGTGCATCAGAAATGCTACTGATTTTTGTGTATTGATTTTATATCCCGCTGCTTTACAGTCATCTAGTAGAATTTTTTGGCTCTTCTAAGTAAAGAATCACATCTGATGGTAAAGACAGTTTGGCTGTTTGATTTCTTCATTTCCTATACATACACCCTCTTATTTGTTTCTCTTGCCTGATTGCTTTGGATATTTTGAGCACTATAATTAAAAGGGTGACAGTGAATATCCTTGTCTTGTTCCTGATTTTTGGAGGAAAAGTCATTTTCCGCATTTAATATGATGTTGGCAATAGGTTTCTCATAAATATCTTTCACTAAATTTAGATGAGATCCTTCTATACCTGTTTTTTTCAGGGCTTTTATCATGAAGGAATGCTGGATTTTCTCAAAGGCTTTTTTCTATCGGTTGAGATGATCATGTAACTTTTGTCCTTGTTTCTGTTTATGCGGTATATTATTATAGTTGTTGATCTGCATATGTTGAGCTATCCTTGTTTCCCTAGGATGAAGACAACTTGGTCATTTTGTATCTTTTTTATTATTTTTTGCATTTTGTTTGCCAGTATCTTATTGAGTTTTGTGTCTATGTTCATTAAAGAGATTGATCTGTTTTTTTGACCCTTGTCTGGTTTCAGGAATGAGTTTGGCAGTACCCATTTCTTTTTAATTCCATTGAAGAATTTGAGGAGAACTGATAACAAATTTTTCTTGAAATTCTTATAAAATTCAGGGGTAACTCCATAAGGCTCTGGGCTTTTCTTGGTGGTCTTGTTTCGTTTATGTAAGGTCTTACTATGCAGTTCAGGCTAGCCTTGAACTCAACCTGGGCTCAAACACCATCAATCCTCCTGCCTCAGCCTCCCAAGTGTAAGGATTACAGGTGAATGCCACCATACCTGGCTAGTTGGTAAGGTTTTATTTATTGCTGCCTCAATTTCATTGCCTGTTACTGACTTTTCATATTGTATTTTCATATCTTCTTGTTCAGCTTTGATAATGCCTGTATTATTGAAGAATCTATCCATTTCTTCCAGAGTGTCCAAAATACTAGAGGATCTATTATAGTAATAATCTGGATTTTGGCAGTGTTTCTTGTGATTTCACTTGTCTTACTTTTCTCTCATTGCTGAAATGCAATACTTCACATGCAAATTAAAGAGGGAAAGATTTACTTAAGCTCAGTTTGTGGTGATTTCAGTCCATAATCAACTGGCTCCAAGGCAGGGTGACACATGGCAGAGGGCAACAGTTAAGGCAGTAGAAAACAGGATAAACAACAAGAGCAAAAAGGGTGGAGAGAGCAAGCCTCTTTCCCTCCCTTACATTATATGTAGCCTACCTGCCCCATGGTGGGTATAGTATGCGCACCCATAATCCCAGCACTGGACCATGAATCAATCATAAATAGACATTTGCTCCCATGATTGCATGAAGTTTGGGGGAATCATAACATCATGTTTTTCACTGCTAATTGTATTGATTTGGATCTTTTTTTGTGTCTATTTTTTTTATTCTTTGAAAGAATGAACTATACAACTGATTGATTCGTGATTTTTTTAGTCTTACTTCATTAATTTTGGCTCCGATCCGATTACATCATTCCTTGTGCTAGGTTTGCATTTAACATTCTAATTTTTCCAGAACTTTGAGGTGCACCTGCAGGTTACTTAGGCTCAGTATGTTTTCTGATGTGGGTATTCACAGCTATATGCTTTATTCTCAGGACTGCGTTCATTGGGTCCCACAGGTTCTGGTATGTTGTACTGACAGTGTCATTTGATTCTAGGAACTATCTAATTTCTTTCTTGATTTCTCCTACAACCAACTGATTATTAAAGAGGACTGTTTAAGGTCTTGGAGATAGTTCAGCAGTCTAAGCACCTGCCTTAGCAAGCACAAGGACCCTGATTTGACCACAGTGGCAGTCCTGCCCTGGGCAAGCCAAGCAGGTCACCAAGACTGGGGGTGGTGGCACATGCCTGTAATTCCATTGCAGGGAAGGTTGACCTAGGAGGATCACTACGAGTCTGGGCTACACAGTGAGACCATATACCAAATACATAAAATTTCTTTAAAATAAAAAAGTACTGTTTAATTTTCCTGTGTTTGCATTTTCTCTTTTGTCAGTGATTTCTAGTTTCAATGTACTATAACCTGATAATATGCATGGCATAATTTCCATTTTTAAAATTTATTTTAGCTTACCTTATGGGCTACTGTGTGGTCTACTTCGGAGAAATTTCCATGTTGCTGAGAAAAATGTGTATTCTGCAGTTGTTGGAACACTCTGCAGATTTTGTTTAGGTCTATTTGTTCAAAGGTATGTTTCACTTCTTTTTCTTTTTGAGACAGGGTTTCACTATTGAGTTCAGGGTGGCCTTGAACTTACTTTGTAGCCCAGGCTGGCTTGAAACTCACAGCAATCCTTCGACTTCAGCCTCCCAAGTGCTGTGAATGGTTCACTTCTGATATTTCTGTCTTTTTGGAAATCTATTTTCTTTGCTGAGGACTTTTCTTAGCACTTCACTGAGACAGTAGAAGCAATGGGAAAACTTTCTATTTTCCAACTCACCCAAATCTCTACCCAGGGGTTGTATATTTTTTCCTGTACTACAGACTGAGTATTCTTGTTCCTATCTGAGCAATCTTCAGTTTGAGTAATGGAATTCATTCTCTTTTGCCCAAAGATGTTGTAGTGATTGATCTACTGTGTCAACCTAAGAAACTAAGAGCTTAACTAAATGGGCTCAGCAATTTCATACCCTAGGGTATGGAGGCCCCACCCTAGAGTGATTCATCACTTAAAGGAAAATGAAGAAGGACAGAGGGTCCCATTTTTCCTGAGAGGAGCTCCAGTCTTCCCTGCTAGCTTGGACAGACATCCTCTCCAGGCTTCAAGTGCAGACTCAGCTTCTGCCTTGGATCCTTCAGTCTTCTGATGTACTCATCAGCCTTCTGTTGCATATCCATCAGCCTCCTGATATAGACTTGTACGGAATACTGCAGTGGGCTCCAGACCTGGAACTGAACCCTTCCGTCTCCAGTGTGTAGATGCCCTCTGCATGTTTCTTCATCTGACTCTGTAGCTGACCATAAGTCAATTTTGTAATTTCTTATACACTTGTACATCTTGTGTTATATCTGTACCTGTTGTAAAACCCTGACTGATACTGATGTCAAGTGTCTCTTCTACATCAACTTTGTGTGTGTGTGACTGGCTCAATCTCATTAGCTACATGCAAATGAGGTAGCATGAATGTCAGCCTGTCTATATGCTATATTATGCTCAGTATGTTTACATCTCACCTTAAAAACAAAATCAAAGAAAAGAGGAAAAAAATGGAAACAAGTTTTTATAAATGGAAAGAAGAGATGAAGCTAGGTGAGGAGAATGGGGGGAAAGAAAAGAATCAAGATGTACAAATACAAATTCTCATTGTTGAATGTGATCATTATACATATCAAAAGTATATCAACAAATTGTTTAAAAATCCTTTCCTACAAAAAACACTCCAAATCAAAGACCTTGTCATTTGCCTTCACATCTCCTATCTATGGTAGCTATCCAACCTTATGGCTCTATCTATATCCTGATAACTTTAAAATATGTATCCCCAACCTGAATCTCTGATATGCGTTAACACAGACATACAATTGTCTACTTACATTAACTATTTAGAAGTGTAAAGCCAAACCCTGATTTTCCCAATAAACCTTCTCATCCTTCAAAATGACAACTCCGGGGCCAAGAAGATGGCTCAGTGGAATAAGCACTTCCCTGGCAAGTGCAAGGGCCTGAGTTCAATCCCCGGTTCCGCCAAAAAAACCAAAAAACAACCTGTCCTACCAATCTGATTTGAAACTAGCTCATTGCTATTTGTTTCTCAATAAAATTATGGGGGGGGAGAACCCAAAATGACAATTCCATAATATTTTAAAGAGGCATACTTCATTCTTTTTTTTGCCCTCTCACTTTTGACAGCTGTTAAAACTTTTTGAAAGGTTTTTTTTTTTTTTAACGCTACTATCTCAAAGATTTGTGGAAGATGGAAGAAGTAGAGAAAACACGGTTTCTGGATCATTCCAAATTCCAATATGAAAACAAGAGCAATTATACAGCAACACCAAAATTCCATGGATCATATCTATTACAAAACTTGACACACAATAATTACCAAAATGGATGACCCTTTGAATAACTTATTTTAAGCATGGCTTTGTTAAAATGTAACTGGGGGCAGATAATCAGGACAAAATTCAGAAGAATGAGGTTCAAAGAGGAAAAGTGACTTGTCTAAGCCATATAGGTAATTAATATCAGAAAACATGTAATTGACACTGGGATAGAGTTTTCAGATATCTTGATCACTAAATGTTACTAACCTGATTCTTTAGATTTCTTTCACTCATGGGATTATATAACTAATTTAAGTGACAATTTTTGTGGAATTTTCATTTGCAAATGTTTCATTTGGCTCAATTCTTCCTCTTTTTCTTCTCTACCCTATCCAGTTTAGTTATCAATCTGTACAAACAGACTCCCAAAGGAATTACTAGCCAAGTAATTATTTAACTAATCAAATTCTGAGCAGTTACAAGACCTCAGCTGTACTAGGAAAAGACAGAATTGGGAAGTCTGGAAGATGGTAGCAACTAATTCACACCTAAAAATAGAGCGACTACCTAGAAAAACACAAACTCCTTAACATCTGTCAATAAACCTTGGTGGGGTGCCAGTGAGACAGCTGAGTGATTGAAGTGCCTGCTTATGCAAGTCAAGGGACTGCAGTTCGATCATGGCACCATATGCCACACCAGCCCTTCCCCCAGGGCAGGCTGAGCCAGCCACACAGTACAGGCATAGTGGTATAGTCTTGTAATCCCAGCACTAAGGAAGTTGAAAACAGGAGGATCACTATGAGTCCAAATTGTGTAGTGATGGGGCCAGGGAGATAGCTCAGTAGAGTAAGTGTTTGCCTGGCAAGCACAAGGTCAAGTTCAATCCCCAGTACCAAAAAAAAAGAAAAAGTTCACATAAGTATTAATATGTAAAGGGACTGGGGAGATGGCTTAGTGGAAAAAATGCTTCCCAAAAAAAAGGGGCCTGAAAAAAGGAAAAAAAAAAAAAAAAAAAAAAAAAAAAAAAAAAACTTGGTGAAAATAGAACTCTGCAAACCCTAAAACACAAGCAGATGGAGAAAATACACCAACAGCCACAAGATAAGTGTCATGGATATCATCTGCATGAGAAAAAGGAAGGAAAATACAGGCAGCATCTGATGGACCCCAAAACAACCAACAGGTGTTTGTAGGAAAGTATGGTGAGCTAATTTTTAAGAAACAAAGCTGGTTCTAAAAAGAGTCATGCTTTCTTCATAATGAGTGCAATGTTCTCAGTCAAGACTGAAGAAGCTTTGTTCTAGAAGAGTCTGTTAGGGGTAGAACGACGTTTTATTTCATAAATCACAAACAATAAATTTTAGATGAATAAAAATATCAATCTTAGCAACAGGACTTGGGAGAATCTGTTGAATGAATACATCACTTTTACTTGTGGATAATAGGTCCAACTTAGGTCTTCCTCATGAAACACAAAAAACACTTTCAAGTCCTTTTTTCACTTGACCTACAGAGAAATGTATTTGTTGACTATTATTGTATACGCATACGTTTATGTATGTATGCATGCTAGAAAAAATTTCCTGAAATGTGGTTTTTATTACTGTCAAACATTTTTCTACTCTAGTCTTACTTTAGAGGGAATATAAGGGCAGAAGAGACAGCAGGTACCAATTTACAATATGAAAATACTGCCAACTGCCACTATAGCACAGAGGTTAAAGTGTGGGTATCTAGTCCCAAATTTTGACTCTGCCATGGGTGAGCTGTTACTCTGGACAAAGTGCTTAACATTGCATTACTTCAGTTTCTTCATTTACAAAATAGTAGTAACTCCATTCATCCTACAGGTTCTATAGATGCTTAAATGAATTTATCCATGAAAAGTCCTCTGAATACCATCTGGGATGTGGTATATATTCAATAAATATGTATTATTGTTGTTCTTGTTATTGCTGTTCTTCAAGTTAAAGTTTAGGTATTTGGGCCCATACACAAGAGAGAACATTTTAAAGTGAACTCCAGTAAGATACAGTACAACAAACTACTCTGAAAACAGACTGAAAAAATAAGTTTTATTCTACGTTCATAAAAAATTATTAGTCAATAACCAAAAAATACGCAGATTTTTCCAATAATTTTAAGCACTGCTTACCTATGATGTCATTTCTCATTGCTTCTGTAATTGGTATGGGTTTAGCAGCATCTGGAGATATATATTTGGTAAAAGTATTTACTGCATCTTGTTCTATACCTGCAAGGGAAGAAGGAGGCAACTTCAAAATCAAAAAGCAGCGAGGACTACAGGAATGGGTATATTCATGAACAGCATGGGTTTTTGTGTTTTTTGCTTGTTTGTTTTTTGCTATGTGCCCGTTACAAAATAAGCTTCTATCATAAAGTTGTTTGGTTTACAGAAGAAGAGTTTCATTTAGTCTCCTTATAAGCTAACAAATTTCATTATTAACAGCACCCTTGTACCCAAACACTGGAGATTCCTGCGAAAGGGTTTCACTCAGTTGTCCAGGTTGGCCTACAACTTATTACCTGACTTCCTCACACTCTCAAGTAACTGGGAGATGTGTACCATCTCACAACTGCTATTATTTATATAAGTATGTTCTCTTTCTATGTCTCCTCTCCAAAGACCTAACCTGAAAGACTTGCACAGCAAAATAACATCAAAAGCTCAAAATTCATTCATAAATCTACATTAAAGTATATTACAAATTATTTTACATACATGAATGGAGTTGTTTAATCTTCAAAAAATCTGGAAGGTTAAACAATGAATTTCAAACTTTTTAATCTCAGGATTTCTTTATAATCTTAAATATCAAGGGGGCTCAGGTGCAGCTCAGTTAACAGAATGCCCATTTATCTATGTATATCCCCAAAATAAGACAGATTAAAAAATAATCAGCTTTGAAAACTACAGATTAAGAATGCCACTCCACAATAATAAGCTTCTCTTCTGGAGGGTTAATAACCTAAGTTTGCAAACCAAAAAACTGGAGAAAAAGAAGGGTTGTAAGGACAGCCAACATTTTGGCCCTAGCCTTTCAAGGTCAGTGAGGACTCAGGACATAGGAGAACCTGTACTGTAACATCCTATAACTCAGTTGTGTCCCAAAGTTTCTGATCAAGGAGATTATGGGGCCACAGAGGAAAGCGATTGACGATGTAGAGTGTGCCTAAGGAGAGTCACATGGAGAGAAAACACTCTCTCAGGCTTTCAAAGAGACCAAATTGGTCAAGCAATACCCGTGACTCATCCACATGGCTGAAACTGACAAAGGATCTGCAAACTGCGGTACAGGGTTTCAGGATAAATCCTGAGGGGATTTGACTGACCTTATCAGATACAAAAGTTACATTTCTTGTTATATAGGTCTTGCTTTATCTTGGTCTTAACCATCCAACATAGAAATATAAAAACGAAGTATAAAAAGTAAAGCCATATTAATATGCTGAGCTGTAAAAGCCTCAAGTCAACAACTTCTGATATTGCCGGTCTTATGGGAAACCCACTATTATGGACTATACTGGAATATTTTGCTGAATTCATGCACCTACAATATTTAGATGACAATGGAATACCCATCTCTGACAAAACTAAACAAAAAAAGGGGATACAAATGAAGGACCATTTTGTATCTGTATATCCAAAATAGAATAGATATACAGCTACTTTCTCTTCATTCAATGAACAGATTTGTACTAACAGTGTTTGTGGACCGGATACAATGTCTGCATCTTGTACTATGAATAACTACTAAGAAAACAATAATTTGCAATGTATTAATTATTGAAACTGTCCTACTAATCTGTTTTGAAACTGTCTCATTGCTATTTCTCAATAAAATTATTAAAATAAATAAAAAAGAATGCCACTCCAATCAGCCCATCCTTACCTTACCTGTCTTATAGAGTCCACCAAGCAAGAAAATAATAATGGCAGGTAATGAGACTGGCATTTTTTACCTATAGTTTTCTTTCTTTTTTTCTTTATGTATTTATTACAGGGTCTACAGGGTCTACAGGGTCTCACTACACAGACTGGACTTTCAGTGATCCTTCCTGTTTTTCAGCCTCCCAAGCGCTGGGACTTACAGGCACACGCCACCACTCCCACTCTCAATTGCCATCTCATCACACCCCAGGGACGGGGCCGGAACATGGGAGGCCAGGGATCGAACCCTGGCCATTGTGTTTGCCTAAGCAGGCACATTAATCCACTGAGCTATCTAGCCAACCCGATCTGTAGTTCTGAAGGCTGATTATTTTCCACTTAGATTTTTATTTTCAAGGAAAGAGGTAATGTATGAAGGCCTGGCCCCCATCCACATTACAAATAAATACATAATCTTAAAAAGCTTCTGTTTATGTATTTCATTTAGAGATACTAAGGCATTAAGAGAATATGAGAAAAAAATACTTAGCACTATCAAATCTTCAGATGTCCAACAAAAATTTTGATAACTATTTTTCAAAGAAAAAATGAATGGAAAGAAAACATTTTACATTTCTGCAACTCCATGTTTGTTTTGAAAGCAAACTGTTGGATTCTCATATCTGTCTGGCATTAACTTATGCTGTTATTCTAGATCAATATACATTAGGAAAAATAGGCTTCACAGACATGTAGTTGGAAAATACAGAATTTAAATAGCTTTTTGAGATAACTGTTGATACATTCTTTGATGTTACACCAAGACTTAACAAGTGATAGTTTCTTACACATTAGAATGTGGCATCTGAAACCTCTTGTCAATGTAATTTTTCATACTATGTTAAACAAAAATCTACCCGGGAGGCTGAGGCATGCAGATCATCACTGCAAGTTCGAGGTCAGCCTAAAATACATAGCGAGACTGTGCCTCAAAAAACCAAAAGAAGGAAAGAAAGATTCAATAATTGAAAACCAAATCTACTGGCTTATCTCCCTGTCCTTTATTCATGAATGAATGATTTTATATTATACATTTTAGACTAACTAGAAAAATATTGGTATTCTGACATATACAGATCTTTCAGATGTTGGTGCAGGGCATTAGACAGTATTGTAAAATACCAGCCTCAATATCACCAGTGAGTTTAACCAAAACAATGACTACTCATACAATCTGTTCCAATGCCAGCAGATCTTCCCTACCACTGCACTCTTGCAGTTTTATTACAAATTTCAGCACAGTGAAAAAAGGCCAGGGGTATAGCTTAGCAGCTCAGTACCTGCCTGGCAAGCACAAGGTCCTGGTAAAAAAGGTCCTGGTATATATTTGATTCCTGGTATAAAAACAAAAACAAAAACAAGTGAAAAGACAAATAACATCCTAGAATTACTACAAAAGCAGCTTTTACCTCATTGATTCCCTTGATAAAATCCCAAGGCCCTTCTAGAGGTATATATACATTTGAAGAATCCCTGTGTTAGCAGCATAAATCATCCCCATTTTTATGGAAAAAAAATTTACAAAAGTAAAAATCTTGAGTCAAGAAGTATGGAAGTATGCTGGGCATGGTGGCGCACACCTGTAATCCCCATACTTGGCAGGCTGAGGCAGGAGGATATCTGAGTTTGAGGCCAGCTTATACTACAAAGTGAGACTGTCTCCAAAAAAAAAAAAAGGAAGTGAGGCATATACACATACAGGTTTTATGTAAAATACACTGATATTTATGTCGGCTACATAGGATACACAAAGAAAATGCCTGGAGAAGATGCACACAGGAAGATGAGTAAGAAAGTAAAGTACGTACTACATACACACACACACACAAAAAAACACACACACACACAAAAAAAAAAAACAGAAAAAGGGGTCAAAAATGTAAGACATAAAATGATCTAAAAACTGGCATTTAAGTCCTAGTCTATCAATAGTACATTAAATGAAGACT